TCTCTGTCTCTGTCTTCAGGTGGCCTTCGCCTCAGTATCTCTCCTTGTACAAAATCTCCTTTCTTCTCTGAAAAGGACGCCAGCCATTGTGCTGAGGACCTGCTCTAAATTCATGATGATCTCATCTTCAGATCCTTAATTACATCTGCTAAAACCTATTTCCAAATGCGGTCACAGGGACAGGAGTTCAAACTTGGATACATCTTTTGGAGGAGCACAATTTAGCTCACTACACGGAATCATGGAGTCCCATGATTCTAGGGTATGAATTAAAAAATCATATTTCACCAAAAATTGTAATTCACACTTCTTAGCTTTGAAAGCTAATTTTAATTATCACATTGAGGATCATAATCAGATATCTCCATGGACACATTTGTCAGGCAGTTTTGGATCTGCAAATGGGGATGAAAGCAGAGAGACTAGCCCGGAAGCCATGCAGACCGAAGGAGATGAGAACTATAAGTTTTCTTCTAGTCATGAGTTTCTGTGACTTCAAATTGAAAGAAGGGACAAGAAAAGACACAGTTCTTGGTACAAGAGGCCACTCGGCATGCTGATAAATTCTAAGATGGTTCCCTTCAAAGCATTCGCTTTGTTCCTAAAATGGCTTTTAGGGACTCCGTCATACACATCTGAGAAAGCAGCCTGAGACAAAGCTCCAGCAGTCAGAGACTCTCGAAGGCCTCATTCTAATTTATTTTAGCATCTGCAGTTGTCTTCCGTTCACCTGTCCCAGGTGATAGCTTTGGGGTAAGTGTAGAGCAGATCTGTCCATTGACTTTGAGCTGATGGTTATCTGTGGTCATGAACTGCCCAGGAAAGCAGGAAAATAAGAGCCCCAAACTATGGGGTCGTTCAGGAAGCACATCGTCCAGAGAGTCTTCACCTCACATTTCTTCTTTCTTTCTCTCCTCTTTCCTGCCCTGTCTCTCCCCCTCCACCCCATCTGGTCCTTGATGGATACCTACTATAGCTTTGCTTTGGCAATGGGAATAAAAATATGAACAAGGTACAGGGAATAAAAATATGAACAAGGACAGGATGCTAGTGGCCAGAACAGAAAAGAAATAGTAATTCTAGTGTACTTCCAGGACTTAAAGCACAGAGATTATCATAGTGATAATAACTGCCACACATTGGCATGCCTCCTACATGTCAGGAGGCCTTACAAAGCCTTACAAAACTCTCATTTTGTAGATGAAGAAACCAAGGCCCTGGATGAGTAAGTGTCCCAGCCAATTAGTGCCAATACTGAGGCTACAAACCATATACACATATGCTAGATTCTAAAGTCTATCCATGCTGGGCATGATGATACACACCTGTAATCCCAGCGTCCTTGGAGGCTGAGGCAGGAGGATATAGCAAGTTTGAGCCCTGGGCAGTGTAGTAACCTAGTGAAACCATCTGTAGAAAAAGAAGAAAAAAGAAAAAGAAAATTTAAAAAGCACTGGGGATGTAGCTTTGTAAAGGCTTGGCGTTCAATCTCCAGTACTGAAAAAAATTGAAAAAAAAAAAGGTTTTGAAAATAAATTCCATCCTTTAACTCTGGGCTCAAGAACATGAAAGGAAAAGGTTCTGTCCAGCTGGGAAGACAAGACATTTGTCATTGTTCTGTGGGATGAAAAATACAGCCTTGTCTTCTGTAAATTAGGACTTGATAGTATCAGCTGGGCACGAAACCAGAGTGGGACACTCTGATCTCCTCCCTCTGTGGCCTTCACCTTTATCCCATTCCTGTTGTCGGTCTGATGGACTTTCATGTGGGTGGACAAATTTATCTTTCTGCCCTCTTTGATTTTTCACTGACCCTTTTGGCATCTGTTTGCTCTTGTAAGGATGATTAGAGGACAAAGCCCTGTCCACGCCCTGTAGGTCCTTCCACACACTAAGCTGCATCGCTGAGTTGAACGGCAGCTGCTTCTGGCAGGAGGACTGCGTGCCATAAGTCAGAGCCATGACCGAGGTTGACACACAGTCCACACATTCATCACAGTGCAGAAGCTGCCATTGATTCTCCATTGTAATTGAATCTCACAAATAGGTAGATGTTTTAATTAACAAGTCAGCATGGCTTTCATCAGAAAACACTTGATGGTAAATATTTTTTCATGGTCTCCTTCAGCTGTCCAGGATTCAGATGGAAAAGCAACTCTGAATAACATGAGACACTGTAGGGAGTCTCAGCTGACTTATCCAATGGGTGTCATATTTACTTGCGAAATATCCTTCAAAGTGTTGACAGTAAGAACATGTATATTGCTTTTTTAAAAAAATGTGTTCAGTTCCAGGGTGCAAATGGAATACAAGGAAACTCATTCTCCTGGATGAGCAAATCTGGGAGGGATAAAGATATACACTTGAGCTCTCCAGTGACTGGTGAAACAGAACATTGATTTCCAGGCTGATGAATGCTGAAAAAAATTAAGATTCAGCAATGATTAAGCTGAGTCCTTCAGAGCAGAAGAAATAATGCACCCTGGACCTCAGTCATCAACTGGGAGCAACACAGATCAAATTAACTGATGTGCACCATTATTGCTGATTTTTAAAATTTCTTCTGATGGGATTTGATTTTTTCCTCAGGAAAGGCAATTTATGCCAGTGGTGTGGGGAGCACGGGGTGCAGCTGAAGTGCTCGGTTCTAGGGAGGTAGCCAGGAAATACCTGGCAGAAGCGGGAAGCCGCCCAGGACCCCAGCCACTGGGTAAGCTGGCTGTGGGACAGAATGCCCAGAACTCACACGAAGCAGGGCTGTGGCCCTAACAGTAGCGGAGAGAGGACTCTGTGGGTGAGGAGCCACACAAAGCTTGCCTGAAGCTGTGGGGACAGGGCTTGAGAGGAAATGGACCCTAAATTACTGATTTGGGGAGACACTGGGCTGTCACTCACCACTCCAGTGCCCTCCCAGCCGGAGCCTCTTCATTCCCACAGTGCTGGCCCCATCCATGCCTTAGCTGCAGCCCCTGGGCCCCTTCCAGGGCTTGGCGACGGTGGATATAAAGCAACAATAACCACTCTGACAGGTGCTTTCTCCATTCCCCGCAGGAAGTCTCAGGTCCTCTGGGACCATGCCACCTCCACTAGGGACAGCCCCAAGGGAACAGATGCAAAGGGAAGTGTTCTGGCCTGCTCTTCTCCTCACAAAGGCTTCGAGGCTTTCAGGGGGTTCTTCCCTCAGCTCCCCCATAGCCAAATACCACACACCCAGGGACTGGAATGCAGATTCATTTCCTTACAGTCCTGGGATCATGGAGTCTGAATGAAGTGCAGTCAGGGCTGGTTCCTGCTGAAGCCACTCTCCTGGGCTTTCAGAGGGCTGTGTCCTCCTATGGAACCCTTGAAGTGTGTCTGTGGTCTAATCTCCCTGCATGAGACCACTCCTTTGAGATCAGGGCCTCTCCTAATGACTGCATCTTACCTCAATCACCTCTTAAAAGGCCCTCTGTCCGCATACATTCCTTTCCAAGTTCCTTGGTGTTAGGCTTCAGCCTGTGAAATTTGGCTCTTGCTCTTTCTGTAGAGTCCTATTCTGTGCTCTGCAGGCGCTTCATCTGTCTCTGGGGCTCCCCTCTCTGACTATACTATTCCAATCACTCATCAACAGCACCTTCTCCAGCCAGCTTACTCAGTGGCTGGGGTCCTGTAGGCTCCTTCACACGCATTCACACACATGTGCACATGTGCATGGCACGTTGGTAGGATTTCACGGAGCAGCCTCCAAGGAGATCCTTCAAGAGGAGATAGAGACCTCAACTCACCCCCTCCATGGAGTTGGTTTGTCCATTCTCATAACAGGAACAGAATTTCAGGACACACCAGAGAGAGGCCCCAGAAGATTTATTAAGTAGAGTGAAATAAATGCACACTCAGAGAGAAAATAAACTGTGGGTGCTCAATAGAGACACACTGTGGTCTGGGGTTGGAGTCCTGTGCTTGGTCTCAGAGATATCCTTTAAGGCAGGTGATCTTTAAGATTCTTTAAGACGCTTTGCCTAAAACATTCTTTAAACCCTTTGAGCCTGTTTCTTTAGCTTTAGGTCAGGTTGCTGCCCTTCACCTTATCGACTAGGTTCATTTCTGGATTTAGAGTATCTTTAAAGGCTTAGGGTGCGGTGGGTCTGGAAGGGGAAAAAAAAGCAAGCTTCATGAGTGCAAGTGTGGGGTACAGACATGGGCAGCCTTGGGTAGATAAATTTTATCTTACCTCAGAAATACTGGTGTGGAGGTACAGGTTGCTGTGCCCCCATTTGCAGCACTCTCTATGCCCAGTCCCTCTACCCAGCCCTCCCTCCTCCAGTGCCTGGAACCATTGCTCGGGGTCCCCATCTGACATCGACTCCTGGCACCAAAAGATCTGCTAATTCAAAGTGCTCCACAAAAAAAAAAAAAAAAAAATGCTCCACGACTTTTTAATGTGTCTATTGCACAAACAACCATGCACGGGACCCTGGGTCCGTGCCAGGCACTGAGGGACCTAAGGGGTGGGGATAATGGTGTCCCAAGGATCCTGCTACCAGCAGGCCACCCTTTCAAGTACTGAGTCCCGGCTGGGTGTTTCTCATATGGCCACTGTACCCTGCATGTTGACGTGAAGAAACCTGAGATTCTGGGGTTGTTTGGTGAGCCTGGATTAGACGCTTCAGTGCATAAAACCTGCTTAAAGCCTTCCTCTCCCCTCAGCACGGAGAAGCGGCCTGCCAGAAGACAATTCCCAGCCTGCAGCCCCCAGTGCCCTGTTCTCTCTCCTTAACAGTGGGGCGACTTGTTTATCCATCCCCTAGGTCTGATAGTGAACTTGCGCCCTCAGGGGCTCAGGTTGTAGCCGTACAAGGGGCTTCCTTGCCCAAGGGGTGAGGATGCAGCTCTGCAGCTGGGGATGTCCTTTGGCTCTGGAATCCCAAGGGCTGGGGTCAGAGCTCAAGCAGCTTCCAGAAATAGCAGGCAATGCTTACATCTGCTTTGTCCCTCCCTGCCTGTCAGGAGCTCCTACTCAGGGGCTAGAACAGGGCAAACAGCGCTGTTTGTCCTGTCCCAGCCTTATGGCCTCATTCCTGTGGGGTGGAGCCTGCCCCAGCTCTGCTCCCTGCCCTGCTGCTACCCCACAGCCACAGTCGTGCGTGTGCCACAGCTGCAGATTCTGCCAAGCCGCCTATCACCATAGTCTCCGCTTCTGTGCGCCTGCTGCTCAGGGCTTGGTTCCCCAGGAAAGTCAGAGCCAGCCAAGGCCACCAACTGCTGCAGCCATGGTAAGGGGCCCATGGCTGGCCAAGCCAGGCCTGTGAGCTAGGTGGGGCGGGGGCAATAGTGAGTAGGTACGGGGCCATAGGGAAGGTGTGGGCCCTCTTGAGTGGGCTTGAGGCTCTCTGGGGAAGTGCTGTGGTGTCCTTAGGTGGCTCTCTGAGCCTTAGTTTTGGCTGCTGAGAATGGAGATAATATCACTTATTTCATGTCATTACTGTGAGGCCTAAATAAGGTAGCATGCAGAGGGTCACTTGCTGACAGCCGGGTGTCCCATCCCCAGCACCCCAGGCTGTGGCTGGTGGCCAGCCAGCTGCACTGGCCTGGGGCCCCGACAGGCCCCTTACCTGCTGGATAGGCCTGGCGGGAAAGCTGAGGGCGGCTTAGTCCTCAGTTCCCCTGGGCCACTGTGACCTGCTCACGCAGCCCCCTTCCCAGTCACCCTACTCAGTTACAGCACCCGTCTGCTGGGCTCCACAGCAGGGCACCCCAGAGCACGGACCCCAAGTCCTGCTTTCTCGGGCTCCACCCTTGACCTCATCCATCCCCCTCCACCTAAGAATGGGCAGGACTCTCCATGCCATCCACCCACTGAGCACGAGGTGTCAAGGAGACCACAGCAGGCCCTGCATGTGAACACTCGGCTCTGGACTCTCCCGCGATGTTTGATCTTCCCAGTGCCCTGACCCAGAGTGGATTAGGGGAGAGAAGCCCAAGGCTCGGTGTGGTGGTCTCAGCCTTTCTCTCTGAAAAGCGGGTGGAGTGGGGTATAGCAGGGCAGGGGGACGGAATAGCTGTCTACGTGCTGAGGCCTGGCTGCTCTCCTGGCACAGGTCCATGGGCACAAAGGGTTCCAGTTCCAAAACTGGGCAAGAACTTATGGCTGCTGCCCAGAGATGTACTATCAGCCGGCATCTGTGGAGGAGGTCCGAGAGGTGAGTGTCAGCTCCACATCACGCTCAGGGACTGCCCTGGCTCCAGGAGGAGGTTGGAAGTGGGACTTCCTGGGCTGGATCCCGTTGCTAGCTCAGAACTGCTGGCTGGGTTCAGCTCCATGAATTCAGATTAAACCCAGGTCCACCTGCAGCTGCTACGACTTCCCATGCCCACTCCAGCCTGCACAGGCGTAGGCCGGGGGCACTAAGTGCCGGGCAGCACTTGCTACTGTGCACACATACATGAATACCACGCATACACATGCGCACAAGTGGGTTTATCCTCAGGTCCCTGGAAGGTTTTGCATTGGTGAAAACTGTGATGACTGTGATTGGATTTGCCTTTGAAAGTCTGGAGCTGCATCGAGGAGGATGAGCCAGAGCCACACAGTACAATAGGAGTTTCCTTAGTCTTCTATACTGGCCCGTTTTCAAACCCGCCTCTCTCTGGCTCTTTCTTGGGTGGCCTGGTGCCTCAGTGAGCCGCCAGCATCCCTGCAGCCGGGTCGGGCTCCAGCACATGCTATGGCTTCCCCTGGAAAAGGCTTGACTCAGGTTATCATCGTACAGGTGCTGGCCCTGGCCAGGCAGCAGAAGAAGCGTGTGAAGGTGGTGGGTGGAGGCCACTCCCCCTCGGACATCGCCTGCACCGAGGGCTTCATGATCCACATGGGCAAGATGAACCGGGTCCTCCAGGTACTGCACCACCTCTGCCTGCCCTGGAGCCCCTAAACTGGCATCCTGCTCCTTGGCCTGTCCTGGAGCGCCCCCTCAGCTGAACCCTGCGCAGGTTTGCTCATGCCTCAGGTCAGGCCAGCCCGGCCCCTTGTGGCCATGAGAAAATGTCCAGCACCCGCTCCTGCCAGAGCCTCCTCTCCACTTCGTGACAACAGGAGTGGTGAATCAGGCTCCCCAGAGGTAGACTCACAATGACATGAGAACATCAGTCACGGCCGTAATCACCTCTGATTGCTAATTAGCATGGCCGGGCTCCCGTGATTGATTTTCCCGAGCTCTGTGCTCAGGGCCGAGCTGTGCTCCGGAGTCAGCAGCTGAGCGTTCTCAGCTCAGTTCCGCCTCTGCTGCTTGTGTGACCTTGAACAAGTGACTTCCAGTCCCCGTCCCCCTCTGACCCTGTGAAGGGCGGAGATTTGCTACCGCCCAGGGCTGCTCCTACCCCTCGGGACACAGCACCCTGGTCCCCACAGCAGCCACCAAACCGACATCCCAAGTCTGTCCTTCCCCTCTAAAGACTTAGTCTTTGCCCAGGGCTTCGCAGGGGAGAAGTACAAATGGGAATAGATGGGAGCCCTTCAGGCGGAGGCCTTCTCCAGCCAGGCCCTCCGCACAGCCACACGAAGGACTCACGAGGGAGCCCCACCATCTCAGTCTAGGGGGACGGGGTTGGGGGCATGAGGGCCACTGGTGGCCCGGCTCCTCCCAGCATGCGCTGGTCTCCTACAGGTGGACAAGGAGAAAAAGCAGGTGACGGTGGAGGCCGGCATCCTGCTGACTGAGCTTCACCCACAGCTGGACAAGCACGGCCTGGCCCTGTCCAAGTAAGGGAGCCGCCCCTCCTTCCCCACTCCCGGGCAGCGCTTCTCAGGACGGACCCCTTGCTCTGGGCCCTGATGCCCTCCCCGGGTGCCTGTCTTCTCTTCCACACGGGTTTGGGGCTCTTGGGAGGGAGTAGACAGAAAGACGCCAGAGTTGAGCAAAGCAGTAAGTAAACCTTGAATGCGGATGAGGCGATCATGGATTAAGTCTTTCTGAGAAATTGCAGTAAACAGGGAGCAAAGCACAAAAGCACACAAATTAAGTACAGAGAGGAACAGAAGAGCATGACGAGCGCCAGGGCTCCCTGGCGTCTCCCTCCAGGGTTCCACTTATTCCTCCTCCCTCAGGGTTAGGATGAAGGAATTTCCACTGACACGAAAGTCAAATGCAGCTGAAGGAATGAATCTCTAACGGTGAATTCCAACTGTTAGACAGAGGGGACAGGTGTTTTGAACACTGCTTTAGCAGTGACAGTATAGCTAGAAATGGAAGCCTGTGATTGGTCTCCGAGTGCAGGGGGTCTACTCACCTCAGCTGTCGTGTCACAGGCCTCAGATATCCCATAATGCTTTGCAGCCTGGAAACCACCTGTTCCTACCTTTCTAAGAGTTGTGGCGCTCAGACACTAACAGTGTCCCACCTGTGCAGGCTGGGGTCAGGCCCCGGAGAAACAAAGGCAGATAAAACCAGGATCCCATTGGGAAGGAAGTCCCCACAGGAGATGACAGATGCAGAAGCTGACCAGTATGGTGCAAGTAGTAGGTTCCACACCAGCCGAAGGTGCAGGGCTCCCCAGGTTCAGCCATGGCAGATGGGAGCACATGAGAGGGTGAGGATCAGGAAAGGAGGAGGGGACTAAAGGCAGATGGAGCAGCGACACCCAAAGCCCGGGTGGGGACAGGTGGCTCTGAAGAAGCCTGGAGCAGGTGGAGGGACAGCGCCCAACAGTGGTGACAAGAGGGAGTGTTTCTTAGTAACTGCAGTCCTCTGCTCCAGGGACCTGGAGCTCCGTGCCTGTGTGAGACTGACATCTCTGTCTTCCTCCCACGTGGCTGCCTGCAGGGCGGGAACCACAACCCCGTCAGCAGATGAGGACACTGAGGGCAGAGGCAGAGGGGCAACCCCAAGTCACGCTGCTTGGTGCTGTGTGGGTGCCGGATGAGGCGGGCACCAGGGCCATCCCTAAGAGGGGGACAGACACCTGGGGGGCTGTCCTGGGTGTGAATCCTGCTTCAACCTCATAGTGACTGCAGGTGAATTCTTGGGTCCCTTGGACATCGGAGTCCTGTCCAAAAGATGGGTCTGTAGGTTGGCTTGCTCAGCAGACGAGAGGAGCCCAGGACACCCCTCGTTAAGCCATCAGCGAGCATCCACCCCATCCTTCTTGGACTTGCACCTGACCTTTCCCTTCACCATGATCGCCACCCTCCCTTCCTCCGTCTGGTCCCTGTCCCTGAGGTGAGGGCTCCTTCTCACCACCTCTCCCAGGGCGGTCCTGAGCACACTGCTTTTCCCTCTGTAGTCGCCGTGTACTTCATGGCTAGAGAAGCAACGTGAGATTGGATTAACCATCCCTGTTGGTGGGCATTTGGGTCATTATAAATAACACAGTAGTGAACATCTTCATGCAAGTGCCTGCCCATGCACTGGAATATCTCATAGGGCAGAATTTCTATGATGCTCTTTTATTTTTTTTTAGGGGAGTAGTACTAGAGGTTGATCCCAGGGCCTTTGCACTGATCTACATCCCCAGCCCCATAAAAAAATTTTTTACTTTGAGGCAGGGTCTCATTAAGTCACCAGGTTGCCCAGACTGGGTTCAAACTTATAATCCTTCTGCCTCTGTCTCCTAGAGTCTAAAATGACAGGCGTGTACCACCAGTATGGCCAGCTTATGATCCCTTTTTTAACATTCTGGAATTTGCATAAGGGACAGAAATCACCAACTATCCCAGTTATCATGGACAGAGAGATGGGGGCAGACAGGAAGAGGAGGAGGAGGTAGACGTTGCTTGCTAACTGTGGCAGCTGCCCTGGTCTCATCTTCTGTCCCCAGCAAGGTGTGAGGCCAGATTTTCTGTTCGTTTTCAAACCATCTTGACACCAAGCAGTGTGGTCTTTGGTGTCTTCCCCCACCCTGAGGGCCAGGAGCAGGTCAGCCTGAGAGCTGCTTCTGCGGGGGAATGTGGGTGTGTGGATTATCAGGGAGCCATCTGAGGTGCCCCAGTGAAAGTCTATGCCCTTCTCCCTTACACTAAGGCAGGAATGTCTCAGAGAAGTCGGGCTGGAATACCTGATCATCATCTGCTCTTTGTCTTGGAGCCTGAGATCCAGAAATGTCTTTCTGACTACACACACACACACGCACACACACACACACACACACACACACACACACTCCTTTCAGGGTTGGGCCTCCTGTGCACCCCCAGATTGAGGGGTGCGGGGTATATCCCAGAGCCCCAGGGGTCCCAACACAATGCAGGGGTGCCTCTTGTCCCCCAGAAGCCTAACTGGTCTCTGGTGTCCCTCTCCCTCCCTCCTGCGGAGCCCAGCCTGGGAGCCGTGTCAGACGTGACAGTAGCTGGTGTCATCGGGTCCGGGACGCACAACACTGGCATCAAGCATGGTATCCTGGCCACCCAGGTGAGTCCCTAGCTCCCTGGCACAGTGGGGGCAGCATCGTCTCCCCTGCTGTGGATGGGGACAAGACAGCACCCTCCAGGTCCCCGTTCCCTCCCGGGGGTGCTCTGTCGTCACCGGGGGCCTCTCTCCTCCGCACCTCTGGAGTCAAGGTTTTGGGGGACTTTTGTACCATCTTCACTCCCAGGTAGCACTGGGCCTTCAGGCTCCTCCCCTCACACCGCAGGAAGGAAAGGTGCCTGTGGGGGGAGGGCAGCTTCTGATGCAAGGCGGCCTGGACTGCCACTTGGCAACCAGCGTTAGCAAGTGCCACGTCATGCGGATCTGCTCTGTCTCTCTGTCTTTCTGTCTCTGTCTTTCTGTCTCGGTCTCTGTCTCTGTCTCTGTCTCTCTCTCTCACTCTCTCTCTCTCATCAGATTAACTCTTCGTATTAGTTAATGTCCAAGGCAACTAAACTACCTACCCACACTCCCACACCCAGAAAGCAGGGAGCTGGGCTTTCATCCCAGATCTGAGTCCCTCCGTGTGCTCCTCCCAGTTCCCCAAAGGGACTGTCCTGAAGACAAAGAAATGCTTTCCAATAAAGGTCAGGCAGGGATCTCAAGCCTACCTGCGTGCCTTTCATCAGGGGCCACTTCAGCCACTGTCCCAGCTCCTTGCTACCTCAATAGTCCCACCCCCTGCCTGGCTCCTAGCTGGCATCTGCCAGTGGAAGTGGACCCCTTGTCCTGCCTGCCCCTTGCCACCCCCTGAGACTTGGCCCCAGTCCTCGTCCACTATCCAGGGCTGCTGTCAGCCTGATCACCTCAGCTTCTACACAGTGTGCAAGTGTGAGGTGTGATCTAAAAATATGGGGACTGTTTAAACTTTTTAAAGAAAACTATTAAAATAATTTGTTAAAACAATCACTTACCATCAATCCCCCTCAAAGCCCTTCCTTTGCACATCCTTATCCCATTGTTTCTGTCCCTTTCTGAAGCAGTTCTGTAAGTCCTCTTTTGTGAGTGTCTTTAGTTGTGCTGTTATAGCTGCCTTGACGTCCTGAATGGACTCAAAATGTTTGCCTTCCATGGTCATTTTGACTTTGAGGAAGACCCAGAAGCCACACGGTACCAGATCTGGTCAATAAGGTGGAGGAGGACACAGTATGTTTTTCCAAGCCTGCCTTTCTCTTTGATGGTACCTAGCAACAGCCTTTGCCGTATTTTTGACCACATCTCATAAAGACACTCAGAAAAGAGGACTTCCAGAACTGCCTCAGGATGTGCCAAGCATGAAGGGCTAAGTGTATTTGAAGTTTGTTGGGGGGGGCAGCGAGTATTTTGAAGGTGATGCAAAGCAATGTATCTTTTATTGTAATCCGTCTTTAAAATTTAAACATTCACTGCATATTGCTATCACATCTCATGATTCTGAGTGGCAGTTTATCAAATTCCTTGATTTTGCGCCTTCCGCCAGTGACAGGGAACACACATCTCTGGTGTCTGCTGTGCCTGAGACAGCTAGCTGTGCGCCTGACATATCCTCAGCTGATCCTCACCACTCCTGAGAGAGTTGTCACTACTCTGCCTGCTTCACAGAGGAGGACACAGAGAGGTTGAAGCACATGGCCCTGAGAACAGTGCCCTCCCTTCAGTGCTCCAGACCCTAGAGCAGCACCTCACAGGCCGGCTCTCACCCACGGCTCCGGATCCCAGACAGAACCTGGCTTTCGTAGAAATGACTGTGACAGCCTCACTCCCACGGTGGCCCACCAAGCCCGGTTTCTGCCAGATTCTCCTCTCTAGTCTCGGCCACTGTTAATCAGAATTAGTTCTGCTCTCCCGCCCTGCGCCCCCGCTGCCAGCTACACATGTCAGAACAATTTCCTTCCAAACAGCAGGTGGCAGGGGCAGAGGGAGCTAGATGGGGCCAAGGGCAGCGGTGCTGAGTTTGATGGTCACCTCCAGCCTCCAGTGGGGCAGAAACCTCGGCGACCGCATGGGAGTAACTGGCCGGAGGAGCTGGTTCCTTAGCAGACTCGGGGGGCGGTGATTCTCAGGTACAGCAAGGGCAGATAGGCAGCAACAGGGACCCCGTTCCAAGCTGAGCTGGGACAGTGGCGCTGCTTGGACCTCAAAGCACACCCCCCATCCATGTCCTAAGCGCCACCCCCAGCTCTTTTTTTTTCTGTCTTCGTTTTTCTTTTTGCACTGGGGATTGAGCCCAGGGCCCTTGCACAGCTGTATCCCCAGCCCACCCCAACAGGATCTGGCTAGATTGCTAAGTGGCCCCAGCAGGACTCAAATTTGCAATCTTCCTGCCTTGGCCCACCAGATGCCAGGATGACAGGCATGCGCCACCACCCCAGGCTCTGCCCTTGCTCTTTGCAGCCCATCTGGGCTCAGGGGTCCTCGGGCAGGGGCAGATCCCCGTCCTGACTGTGAGGCCGCAGATGAGTGTGGCAGTGGGTCTCGGAGATAAGCCCAGCTGGCAGGGTTCCATGGCACCCACCCAGGTGTGACCTCCCTTTCCTTTCTCCCCTTTCTCTCTCCAAGACTGAGACCTCTTTGGCCATGACGACAGGGGACAGAAGGAGACTGGCCCTCTGGGGTATCCCAGTGGCCAGGGGACAGGGTCCTCTGGGGATGGGTGCTGCCCACTCCCCTCTGGCTGAGCCCAGCTCTGCTTGTGGCTTCCCTTCCACCAGGTGGTGGCGCTAACGCTGATGACAGCTGATGGGGCTATTCTCGAGTGCTCCGAGTCCAGCCACCCTGAGGTGTTCCAGGCGGCGCAGGTGCACCTGGGCTGCCTGGGCGTCGTCCTCACGGTCACCCTGCAGTGCGTGCCACAGTTCCACCTGCAGGAGACGTCCTTCCCCTCCACTCTGAAAGAGGTACTGGCCCTGCCTGCCACTGCTCGGCCTCGGAGGAGTTACGGGCACGTGGCCTCAGCTCCCCTTCCTCAGCCTGGGGGATGCGAAGGCCAGAACCCTCCTGGGCACTGGGGATGGGGGTGGGGGAGACCTGTGCAGGAGACGAGCATGGACGACTATCCCTGGTCTGTGTCATTCTCAGCCACTCTGAGCCCAAGGGTGCAGCGATGTCACCACATCTTGGAGCTGGGGCTCCAGGACAGACCTGCTTGGAGGTCCTATCTCCAAATAGTCACGGCTGAGGAGCCGGGGTTAGGAGGTCAACACAGCTATTGAAGGAGACACAGCTCAGCCCCTAAGAGAGGTCACCACCCTCCCAGGAGGTGGGCGGGAATAGCAGGGGCCTCAGAGGACAGAGGGTACAGAGGCACGTGCAGTGGTGGGGGCGGTCAGACAACAGTGGGCCCCAAGGAGAGGGAGGTGTGCGTGGGCCACAGGCCCACCGTCCAGAGCCGCCCCTGCCTAGTGCTCAGTCCCCTCTCCCACCTCTCACTGGAGTGAGAACTCACTCATTTTCAGGCTGGAGATTTGGACCTGGAGATCAAGGGGTTGCGTCTTTTCAGTGGAGGATTGACTTTGGCCACCAGAGCTGGGCACTGGACCGTCCTCTGCCACCTGGCCAGCCTCTGAGCCTCCTCTGCCCCATCAGAGACTGCAGCGAAGTCCTGCTTCACTTTGAGCCTGATCCTGGGCTGCCTCTCCCCCTCTAGCACACACAACAGCACATATGTGCTCATACATGTTCACACATAAGCACATATATGTACATGCATGTGCCCACTTATATGCACACACATCAGCTGAACATCTTTGCAGACTGCTGTCACCAACTCAGATCAACATGGAGACTTCTAACTTAGACACGGCATCCGTGAAAACTCGAAGTGACTTTTAAAACAATGGCTCACGTTCTTTTCAAAGTTTCCAATTGCTTGGACTGTGTGCTGACACAGGAAAAATAGCAGTTGCAATTTCCGCTCGGAAAAGAAAAAACAGATGGGTACACACTTGCACACACACACGCACACACACACACATACACACACATGCATGCACGCACGCACACGTGCACACACGATCAGAAACTCTCAACAAGGTGGAGGGAAAGGCTCAGAAGAGGCAGCCCTTGAGCCTGGCCATGCTGCTTTCCGGGTTTGATCCTGAGTCCCCCAAACTCTGGGTTTCAGTTTCCTGGTCTTTTAGAGGTGAGGTTGGTCTCGAAAGTTCCCCGAGGTCCCTTGGAGCTGTGACATCTGGGACGCAGTGCAGAACTGCTGCCTGCCTCCTCATCCCCACCCCCCGACAGAAGCCATGATGGCGGCACTATTTCCCTCTCTGTGGCAGCCACGAAAGTTCCTTGGCCTTGAGCCCCTCCCGCTGCTCTGAGACTCTTGTCACCCTGTAAGGAAACACTGTGTGTGGGTCCTCTGTCCTCTCTGCCCCTTACACGTGGGGAGGGGCTCCTCCAGATCCTCCCCAACATGTTGGGGTACACCAGCCTTCCAACCGTGCTAAAGGGGCGTGGATTCCAGGTCCCCTGCCTGGGCTGCTCACCCGTTTTGCTCAGGAACACTGTCACCTTCATCCCTTCCTCTTGTTGCTGGGGGTCAGCTCAGAAGCACAGAGATCTTCTCTGAGGCTGCTTTGCTGTAGCCCCTCAAGGCACATAGCCCTGAGTAGTCCAGGTAACACCACGCTCAGCTGGACAGGAGTCCATTCAGAGCCCCGCTCTCTTCCGAGATGTTCTCTGCCTCCTCCCACCCAGGCCGAGTGGGATCCATCTTGGATCCAGGCCTGTGCTCCCCAGTCCTGGTTCTCTTAAAGACATCTCAGCATGATATCTGAATGCTGCTGAAAGCCCAGTTAAGGGAAGGAGTCATTCTCAGGCCCTGAAGAGTTGGAATCGGTGCTTTAGGATGCACGGTGGGAAGGTGAAGTCAGACCCCAAGCTCCTGCTTGTGAAGACCATGCTGAGCCCCCACCCGCTTCTGTGCCGTTTTATGACAACAGCATTGCCAACTCTGCGTTCTGGTTAGCGTGCAGTCAAGCCAGTTAGAGAACATGGGGACATCACAAACCATTGTCGCCCTTTTGCCCTTTATGCCAGCCAAGCTATAACAAGATCTGATGTGTGCAGCTGGCTGCCTGTGTCACCTCCCCATCCCCCAAGGAGCAGGATTGGCCCCTGTGACACACCAGCTTTATCGTGCTGAAGCTCCCCACTCTCTTGGATGGTCATCTGCTGGTGACTGTCCCAGCCAAAGACACGAAATCCCCTGCTTGGTTACCACAAGCCTGGTCACTGATTCTCAAAAGCCATCTCAATAGCACCATGACTCTAAATTTAAGGCACAAACCGCCCCCCCAAGATCCTTCATGCCAGTAACACACCAAGGAGCAATTACTGTGTGTGCAAGGGAACACAGTGCTCCCAGGGAACACAGGTCAGATCAAGGAAACCTGTGACCCAGGGTCTGCTGTTCTCCAGATAGGACAGTCTATGAGCCCCAATGGGAAGGCGCCCAGTGGTTCTACAACAACCCCTTAGTGCTAGGTGAGCATCAGGTTAATATTATCCTTTAGTTATTGTGGACTGATCAGGCTCGCCATCTCCCAAATGAGTAGGTGGTGAAGCCTTAAATAAATAAGACAAATGAAATGATTTCAGGGCTCCAGGAGGACCCAGCTCTCTCACAGAATTCGAGATTCTCCAGGTTAAGACAAAGAACTTCCCTGGGTGACCTGTATTTCTTTGGTTTTCAAATAAAGGGGGCTACCGAAAAGAATGCAGGAATCTAGTAGAACTTCAGGAAATATTTTCCCAAGCAGTAAATTATGTCAATCAGGAGAACTATCTTATCTTTAGGTTGGCATTTATAGTAGGAGTATGGAGCCTGCAGCTACAGTCTCTTTTTAGTTAATTGGGGTTGGAGCCAAACATCCTCAGCTGTGGCCTTATCCTGTCCTTTGAGGCACTGCAGCTTCATAGGTCAGTACAGGCCTCAGCGGTGCACTTACTGTGAGTACGCTGCCCATCTCCAGACAAGGTGCCTAGGCTTTGGACAACTCACAAGTAAACACGGAAAGCCAATTGGTTAATATTAAATCCGGCTCAAAGCCACTTTGTTGTGGTCTCCCTCAGGTGGGTACCGTGAAAGGTACTGTACCAAATCCAGCATTAGGTTGATCCTGAATCATGGAACCATCCCAGCTGGGAGGCTGGACACACGTCTCCCAGGAACCTTAGCTAGGCGAAGGGCACACCTGAGCCTCAACTACCAGTAAATGTCATTTGGTCACTTCTCCACCATCTTCCTGTGACCAACACAATCCCTCCCTTTTCCTCTTGCTGGGCCAGGTCCTCGACAACCTTGACAGCCACCTGAAGAAGTCTGAGTACTTCCGCTTCCTGTGGTTCCCACACAGCGAGAACGTCAGCATCATCTACCAGGACCACACCAACAAGGTAGCCACGGGGGCGTGGCCAACCCCACTCCACATCCAGGAACAGCTGCTGCCTGGTGACCAGCACGCATCCTCCCTGCCCCACACAACCGCGGTCTCCACACCCTGCAGCTCCCAGAGTGGCTGACACTTGCTGTTCCGGGGGTCAGTGAGGTGGGAGCATCACTGAGCATGAGAGAGATGCATTCGGGGCAGAGGGCAGAAGGCAGGTGGCCAATGGGCATCCAGGGTGTCCTAGAGTGGGGACACATAAGGGTGTGGCCAAAGGACAGCCTACATGTAAGGGGAGGTAGGTCGCCCTTTGCGTCTCCTTCCTCCTCCACATGAAGCCATGCCTGGAACACGTCTCCCTGTCTGATGACATTAGGATGCAGACGTCAGAAGGCAATGCAGCCCTCACTTGAGGTGCTGAACTAATGACAAATTTTCCTTCCCAGCCACCCTCCTCTTCGGCCAACTGGTTTTGGGACTACGCCTTTGGATTCTACTTACTGGAGTTCCTGCTCTGGGCCAGGTAGGAGTGCAGTGGCCCCTTCCCCAGCATCTGCCATGTACTGCTGAGGAGGTGGTGGGGTCTGCATGTGTGAGTGGCCTGTGGGGTTCATCATAAGGCCAGTGGAAATCACTAGAAGGGTTTTAAGGAGGGGATGTTTTAAAACAGCCACCCAGCTGCTGAGAGCAAAAGGATTGGAGGAAAGCTGGGTGTGGCAGGAGCCACCTGTATGATGTGTGAGGCAATGGTGTCAGTGGAGGCAAGGGGGGAGGGAGGGAGGGAGGCAGGCATGTGGGAGGGAGGAAGGAAGGAAGGAAGGAAGGAAGGAAGGAAGGAAGGAAGGAAGGAAGGAAGGAAGAAAGGAAGGAAGGAAGGAAGGAAGGAAGGAAGGAGGGAAGGAAGGGAAGGGAGGGTAGACGGATGGGGGATGGATGAATGAGTGGATGGATGGATGGATGGATGGATGGATGGATGGACGGACGGACGGACGGACGGATGGATGGATGGATGGACGGATGGATGGATGGGTAGGTGGAGGAATGGATGGTTCAAGATGTAAAGTGTCCAGGCCCAAGAATAACAACAACAACAAAAAAAAAAAATAGCAGGTAAGTCCAGACATGAATGAAATAGTTCTCCAAGCTGCTTCAGCAGGATCTTGCTGACACAAATCTCTGTGGGCCACTTTCAGAGTGAGTAGCCCCATGGTACCGGGACTATAGATTTATTCCCCATAGCACATGGCTGGGAGCAGGTAGCATAACCATGTCATAAAAATGGGTGTCACATGGAACACGTGCCCATCTGGACACTTTATTCTGTGTCAACTTTCTAATACTAGGGGACAAGAAAACAGGAGTTTTCCTTCCCAGAATTTCATTTGGTAACTTTTGGGTGTTGACCTCTCCCTTCCTCTGGGGAGCCTTCCCTGCATGTTCCCAGACCAACGGAAGAGTTCCTCCCTGGCTCCCACAGTCCCCGCACTCCTCGGAGTACATCTCTCTCTGGGCAGCATCTCAAGGGGGCTGCCTGAGTGATTTGTCATTGCAGTCACATGTCTGGCATCTGAGAGAGGAGACCCAGTCCAGGTCATATCACCTCCTGACTAAAGGCGATTGGGAGCTGCATTAGGATTTAATTCACTTGCCAGACAGTTCCCCCTAGCAGTGTAGAATCCTGGGGCTCTTTGTATATTCATAGAGTTGTGCAACCATTCCTTCAGCCTGTGGTAGAATATTTCACAGCTCCAAAAAGCAGCCCTGGACCCTTAGCAGTCACTCATTACCCCTCCCTCTGCCCTGGAAATCACTAATCTACTTTCTATAAATTTTCCTCTTCGACACGTTGCATGTAGATGGAATTAGACAATGTGTGACCTTTGCAACTGGCTTCTTTTGCTTTTCATAATGTTCTTTGTGTTGTAGATTGTGTCAGTCATTTATTCCTTTATATGGCCAAATAATACTCCATTGTATGGCTGGCCTGTATTTATCAACGCTTTAGCAAATGGGCACTTGGGTTGTTTCTACTTTTTGACAATCCTGCACAATGTTGCTGTGACTATTCATGTATGACTTTGTATTTAGACATACGTTTTCAGTTCTCTGTATATTTGCCTAAGAGTGGAATTGCTGAGTCATAGGGTAATTTTATACTTTTTGGGAAACTGACAAAGAGTTTTACTGAAGGGCTATACCAATTTCAACTCCACTAGCATTTTATTGTTTCCAACTTATCATCATCTTAACAAAACTTGTCATAATCTGTCTTTTCCATTTAAGCCATCCTAACGAGTCTGAAGTAGTATGCGGTGGTTTCCACTAGAATTTCCCTGATGACTAAAGATGTTGAGCATTTTTCAAATTCTTAGAGCCATTTGTGTATCTTCTTTGAACAAATGTCTATTCAGATTTTTTCTCATTTTTATTTGTTTTGTTTTTACGGGACTTGGGGTTGAACACAAGGTCTCCACACTAAGCTATTTCCCCAGCCCTTTTCATTTTTTTGCATGAGATAAGATCTTGCTAAGTTGTCCAGACTGGTTTAAACTTCAATCCTTCTGGCTCTACTTCCCAGAGTTCTGGAATTACAGGTGTATGCCATCATACCTGGGCTTTTACCCGTTTTTAAAATTTACAAGTTGGGTTATTTCACTTTTTATTGATGAATTGAAAGTGTTCTTATTCTAAATAGCAGCCCCTTATCAGATCAATAATTTGCAAATATTTTCTCCCATTCTGTGATATGTCTCTTTACTAATTTTGATAAAGCCCAATGTATTCTTTTTTTCTTTTGTTGATTATGCTTTGTGTATCACCTCTAAGAACCCAGTGCTTAATTAAAGATCACAACGATTTTTCTTCTAAGAGTTTTATAGGTTACAGTTTTAACTCTTTTGTTATTTTTTCCCTTGTGTATGGTTTGTGGGAGAAGTCCAACCTCCTTCTTCTGCTTGTGAATATTCAATTGTCCCAGTACTATTTCACAAAGAGACTATTCTTTCCCCATTAAATTGTCATTATCTTCTTGTCAAAAATCAATTGACCAAAAATGAATAAGGGTGTATTTCTTGATCTCAATTCTATTCCAGTGATCCAGGTCAGTCTTTAACCCAGTACTACACTGTCTTGATTCCTATAGCTTCATAGTAAATTTTAATATCATGAAGTATGAGTGGATCTTAATTCACATCCTTTACCATCTCTCCCTCCTGTTCTGCCAGCCTTGGGACAAAAATCAGCCTTTCCTCCTGGGGTTCCTTCTCCCTCCAAGTCTCGCCCTTGTTGATTTGGTGAGCTCTTGTTTAGCTCCCTTTAAACAGCTCAAACTTCCAGCTGTATTGAGCCCTTCAAGTGAGTTTCTTCCTCTCTTCCTCAACTTTTTAGCAGAGCACAAAATCACTCACTGCACAGCAGTTCTAGGTCAGTGATGGCGAACATTTTAAAGCTTTTAATGATAATAGGCCACAGGTTTGCCACCACTGTTCTACACCCTTCGACCCAGCTCCTCCAGGCCAGCCAAGAGAGGCCCTCAGTGTTCATATCAGCAGCACCCAGCATGAGGCTTGGCCCTCCGTGAACTAGAAGAGTACATGGGCAGATGTCCACATCCTCTGTAGATAGAGGTGAACACCTGACTTGGAGAAGATTCAGGCTGGGAGGAATTTCCAAACTTCTCTAACTAGACAGAGTGGGATTAACACATGGAGTTAACACTGGAATTGAGAATTATTTCTGGAAAATATAGAAGGGACCGTTTCTTCGGGGCACTGTCAAAGTGCTGTCCTCGGGATGTGGTGGAAAGCCAGGGTCTTACAAGACAAGAGAAACTTTAAACTCAAGTCCCAAACCAGAGACACCACAGTCCCGCTGCCTTGGATTTGGTGCTGCAGCTTCTTGGCCCACATGAATTGAGCTCAAGTACCCACCAGCACCTTTTAATAGACTAACAGACTTCTACAGATGATAATTCACTTTACACTTTATGACAAAGTACAGCTACCACATTCTCAGCCAGAATGATCTGGGGCTTCTTTAGGTTGTCAGTCTGCAGGAAAAGTGGGGTCAGAGGGAACAGGTAAAAGGGCCAGGCTTGGGCTCTGGTCCTCTCCAGCCACTCTAGAGCTCCCCTCCTTTTCCCCCACTGCAAACCGGACGCTGACAGCTCAGCACTGCACAAAACCATGAGCCTGTGTCCAGCCGAAGGGTCCAAGACCAGCGGATAAGAACTTTCCATCCCCTCCCTGTCACCCACCTGCATCAGCGCACACTGCAGGCACCCACTCACGCCCCCACCTCTCTGAAAGGGCAGCAGCCACCTTCGGCCTCCAAAGGCTGCAGTTTTCTGAGCACTTATTACATTCCAGGCACACTGCTGGGTGCTCCACATGTGCGACTCCTTGTAGTTTTTGCGACGTCCCTAGGAGTGACGCTTCATCCTTAAATTGCAGTTGAACTCAGTGATGAGCCACCGGGACGGGTTCCCAGGCCCGGGCTGGGCTATGATACTTTCTCCCAGGTCAGCAGCCTGTCAGGGACGTTGCGTTTGTAGCAGTTCTGAATCCAGGCTGGTCTGGATCCAGGAATTGGGGCAGTTTGGCCCATCTCCTTCTGTGGATTGGCCTGTCCTCAGGGTAGGGGCACTAAGGTGCATCAGAGGAGTCCACATGCATGGCCAGTCGTCAAACCATGCGGGTGAATACCTGCCTGGGAGGTGTCAGGAGCTGAAACACAGCAAGTGACTTCTCAGATCTGGGTGGGAAAGGAGCAGCAAGTGTGCCCAGGCTGAAGGCCACAGCCCCACCCAGGTGATGGATTTAGAGGAGAGTGCGGCTTTCTCTCCAGCCTCAGCTTCCATCTCCATAGCAGGACAGCTCCAAGTGTGTGTGTCGGAGCCCGAGCCCAGGCCACACCCAAATAAATTAGGCTCTACATCTCCGCCACCACATCCAGGCCCACAGCCAGAAGTGCCAGGAGACCTCAGAGTCTCTGGGCTCAGCCCAAGTGATACCTGCCTAAGGCCGATGCACCACCTGGCAGGGAGCACACTGGCACTGTGCCCCACTTTCCAGTGTGTCCTGAGTGTGCATTTAGTTCCTGCATAAAGAGGAAAAAGGAACATGCCTCTGTGTGTGTGTGTGTGTGTGTGTGTGTGTGTGTGTGTGTGTGTGTGTTTATAAAGCTTCTGAAGACTATGATGTAAATGTATTTTCTAAAGCAAAAAGCCAGGTAACAGTTCCCGCCTGACCCCAGAACCACAGAGCTCTCCCTCCGTAGTTATGTGGGCAACTCCGGCATCATTTTGGGGAGCAAGAAACCAGGACCAGAGACCCCATGCCAAGATACTGGCTCCCATTGGCCACCTACTCCTTAGAGCAGTCCAGGCATCCCAGGGCTTAGTTAGAGTGAACACCACCATCTCCAGGGAAATTCATCTGGCAACAACCAGCTGACATTAGAACTCACCCTTGGCCCCAGCAAGCTGCTAAGATTCTGGGACAAAGACCTTTGTTGTAGTGTGGCGTGAGGTGATAAGACTCTGAGAACAATGCAGAAAACCACTAGTGGGTGAGTATGTGTCAGAATAAAGTCTGCAATGCCCCTGACATGGACTATCACGCAGCTATAGCGAGAAGGATGTGGAGCTATACTGTCACAACCCAGAGGGATTTCCAAGATCTGGATAAGTAACAAAGGCCACCTACATGTGGAAAGCAAGGCTCAGGTTGGGAAAGAACTCATCGCCATCCCTGAGACACAGCTGACACATGACTGATGCCGGGTGTCATGATGATCACACCTCTGTCCCTCCTCTCCCCATCCCTGCAGCACCTTCCTGCCGTGCCTTGTGGGTTGGATCAACCGCTTCTTCTTCTGGCTGCTGTTCAACCGCAAGAAGGAGAACAGTGACGTCAGCCACAAGATCTTCACCTACGAGTGCCGCTTCAAGCAGCACGTCCAGGACTGGGCCATCCCCAGGTAGGGCCCTTCCAGGGCAGCCGCAGGGGTGGTCTCCATGAGCACTGTGGGGAGGGTCCCGGCATCCCTGCCCGCCCTGAGGTCCAGATTGTATCCCCTGCACCGGGTGCAGGGAGAAGACCAAGGAGGCCCTGCTGGAGCTGAAAAGCATGCTGGAAGCCCACCCCAAGCTGGTGGCTCACTACCCCGTGGAGGTGCGCTTCACCCGGGGGGACAACATCCCGCTGAGCCCCTGCTTCCAGAGGGACAGCTGCTACATGAACATCATCATGTACAGGTGACAGGCTCCCTTGGAGGGCGGGGTGGCACAGGCTGCCCTCCCTGGGATTTAGAAGGGGCCCTCTCCTTCCCATCTCTGATGCCACTTTCTCCAGGAGACTTGTGGGTCCTGGCAGCTGGAAACCAGTCTCTCTCCCGTCCTCTGCCCTTCCCTCCTTCTTTTTTTCAGCAGTACTGGGGATCAAACCCAAGGCCTCATACTGAGCTTTCCCGAGACAGGGTCTCATTAAGTCACCCAGGGTGGGTTCAAACTTGCGATCCTCCTGCCTCAGCCTCCCAGCGTGCTGGGATCATAGGTGTGTACCACCACACCCAGCATCATTTCTGTTCTAAGGACTTACAACATACCCCAGGTCTAGTCTATGTTATGCTAGTATAATTTTAATATTATTTATGACCACTCATTAGGAATAGCTACTATTTAGGAAGCAGATGTTGTGGAATGACATTGTATGTCCTATCTCATGTGTTCATGCCAGTCGGCGGCTGGGGTTAGGAAGGGCTCTGAGGCTGGTGTGCATTCAGCAGGAGAGAGGCTCCCGCCCCATGCCAGGGTCTGCTAGGCACCTCTGCCTGCGCTGACAGCTCTGCCAGGCACCACTATGGCTGTGGTATCTTCTCAGAGTCAGCAGGCTGCAGGACGGCGCTCGTGTGCCTGGGTATGTGAAGTTCGTGTTTCCTGCAATTCTATGCTGCTTCTGCCTGCCCTCCCTCCGTCATCCATCGCAGCTCCTCTCTGACTTTGCTAAAGAACAGCATCCTGCCTGCCCGCCTGCCCTGAATCTCACCAGGGTGCCTTCCCACAGCCTGTGGGGCAGCCCACTGCTGGGAATGCACTGCTGCTGAGGGGAGGCCAAAGAACCTGAAAGAGGGCTTCCTGGAGACTCGCTAGAGGGACAGCAGTGAGTTCCCTAGACTCACCTGTCTGTCTGTGGGTCTACCTTCTCCCTGGGAATTCAAAGTCAGAAATGAGAATGTCGCCAGGGGATACATCTCAACATGCTCACGTGGGCTTTTAAAAATGAAGTCAGCACCACTGGGTGTGGTGGCGCAGGCCTGTGTCCCAGCACTCTGGGAGGCAGAGGCAGGAGGACTGCAAGTTCAAGGCCAGCCTGGGCAACTCTGCAAAACCCTGTCTCCAAATAAAAAATAAATAACTAAAAAGGGCTGGGGATGTAACTCAATGCAAAGGCAAATGCCCCTGGGTTCAATCTTCAACATAAAAAGAGAGAGAGAGAGAAAGAGGGAGGAGGGAAGGAGAGAGAGAGAGAGAGAGGGAAGCAGGGAGAGAGAGAGAGAGAGAGATGTGAAGTCAGACTTCACTGGCTGGGCAGGAGGACTAACCCAAATTGTCCATTATTTGTGTGGTCATATGTTCCAGACACGAGTGGGTCAATCTAAGATCCCAAGGCTCTGTCAAAAGGGTACCTAAAGTACATACACACACACACACACACACACACACACACACATTGTGCAGTGCCTAACAACAGAGGTGTCACATCCTCAGCAGGAAGGCTTGGGGTTCCCCTGCACAAACTGGGTGGTCCAGCCTGCTGCACACCCAGGCTGCACACTGCACAGAAGGTCCCCATTGTAGGCAGCGGGGACAGTGGCAGGTGTCTATGCACCCAAACATCACGACACAGTAAGGCACGGGAGAGACTCTTGGCCACAGGAACTTCTTAGCTCTGCTCTTTTACAGACCCACGCTCCTACTTGCAGGCTTTGACAAGATTATTTCAACTCACAGCAACTTTCAGATTTTCACTGAATAATACCTGAGAGGATGCGGGCTTCTCAGAACCCCTTGGGAATGAGCCACAGGGGTGCTGGCTGGCTGCTGTCCATGTCCTGTGGCAGAGCTGGCCTTGGTTTCCCCCTCCCGGGCTGGGCGCTGGGTACACACAGAGAAGGAGCACCCCCCATGGTGGGCCGGTGTGGCTGGGGCAGGGCTCACCTCCTCCTGCCTCCCCGTGCCTAGGCCCTACGGCAAGGATGTGCCTCGGCTTGACTACTGGCTGGCCTATGAGACCATCATGAAGAAGTTTGAGGGCAGACCGCACTGGGCCAAGGTAGGGCTGTGGGCAGCTGCTGGGAACCCCCAGGGAAGGCTGGGCTCAGCCCTCCACTTCCAGACCTGCTTCCTCATCCTTCACCTAAACACCCATAGTTCCAGGTGACTGCCGGGCCCCAGGGTGTTCAGAGAAATATGTCATCTTTCCTTTCATGTGATTCTCTTAGGAAGCCCACGAGCAGCATAAGCTGGCATCTATGAGCCTACTTAGCAGACAGGAAAGTCAGCACTCTCCACGGTGATGGGACCAGACCCCTCCTACCGTGCCACACTGTAATGAGAGTGGGGGGTCCAGTGCTGCTTTCTAGGCCCCCTTCTTTTTTGGGGGGGATGAGAGTCTCAAAATGTAGGCCAGGTTGGTGATCCACCTGCCTCAGCTTCCTGAGCGCTGGGGTTACAGATGTGCACCACCACGCTCTGCTCTCCTGGGGTCTCTACATCATGCAAATGTGGGTGTGTCTCCAAGGAGGGGCGTCATCCAGGCAGGTTCAGGGACTCAGCACTGCTGATCTGCTGGCTCCAGGGAGGAGGCCCATGGCCTCTGGTTGCTTCTGCAGGCCCACAACTGCACCCGGAAGGACTTTGAGAAAATGTATCCTGCCTTTCCCAAATTCTGCGCCATCCGTGAAAAGCTGGACCCCACTGGAATGTTCCTGAATTCCTACCTGGAGAAAGTGTTCTACTGAGGCAGGTGGGCACACAAGCAAGGCCCACCTGCACACATGGAGGTCCAGGAGGCAGACATCCCCTCCTGACTCCACGGCATGAGCTGGGCTCGGGTCAGGGCTGTCCTCCTCTCCCTGCCTCCCTCCCTGTCCTCACAGCACCCAGAGCAGGCAGGGACCTCGCACCCAAACCCCCATGGATGTCCCCGTGCTGTCCCTTCCTTTTCCTGTACCTCTGGTCCCCACACCCCATTTCTCCAAGAGGAAAGGGAGCCCTAATGTGTGCTGTGTGTCTAGTAGGCCAGGAACCCTGTTACTCACAGGTTCTGTCTACTAGCAAGGTATGGAAGTGAAAGTCCCCGGGCTGTGACTTCAGGGATTCCCGCTCCAGTTCTCTTCAGGACGCGGCCCTTGGAGACGTTTGAGCGCAGCAGTGGTGTGGACCCTGCCTGCTGTCCTTCATGGGCAAGGGTCTTCACATGCTCAGTGGGTGCCGGCTGTCCAGGATGGTGCTCTGAGTGCCACAGTCTGGCCTTTGCCACCTCCTCAGGGCATGCTCGAGAGTGGTCTCTCCTCCACCTTTCTCAATAAAGACCCTCATTAAGATCCTCACTTCACTTCCGGTGACCCTGACTTCACTTCCGTTAACCCCGACCTCACTTCCGCCAACCCTCACCTCACGTCCACCGATTCTCACCTCACTTCCGGTGTGCCTCTTGGCTTCACCTCCAAGGCAATTCTTTGGGATAGAAGGCTCCCTGTTTACCTCCTGAAAAATGTTCACGGTCCTTTATAAAATTTAGCTTCAGTTTGCCTCTGACTTGCCACATACAGCATTCCTCAAAGATCTACGCATCAAATGCTTTCAGGGAATTAGATGAACCTTGAGATATTTTTCTGCCCTCAAGGAATTTATATTCTAATCATCACTCATATGATTACAACTATCTCTAGAGTATACCACCAGTAGTATTTGAAAAGATGATCAGCACCACTACTTATTAGGGAAATGCAAATAAAACCACGATGAGATTCAACTTCACACCCATTAGGACACTATGAACTACAGAAAATTCAAAAGTAGAAAATAGCAAGTATTGGTGAGAATGTGGAGAGATTGGAACACTTGAGCTTTGCTGGTGGGAATGCAAAATGCTCTGCTGTGGGAAAGGGGCTGTTCCCCAGAGAAGGGATGGCAGCACATGGATATATATCTCTGCATATGTTCATAGCAGCATTCTTCAAAGTAGCCAAATTGTGGTCTGTACATGCAATGCCATATTATTCAGCCTTACAAAGGACTAAAATTCGGGTCAGGCATATAGCTCAGGGGCGTAAGCTCCTGCCTGGCAAGTGCAATGTCCTGAGCTCTATTCCCAGTATTAAAAAAAAAAAAAAAAGGAATAAAGTTCGAACACATCCTGCAATATGGATGTACTTTTACAACATTGGGCTAAGTAAAACAAGCCATTTATAAAAGAATAAATATCTTAAGATTGCATTTAAATGAGGTGCCTAGAGCAGTCAGATTCATGGAGACAGAATGGAATGGGAGTTCCCATGAGCAGGGGTGGGAGCGATAGGGAGTTAGTGTCTAATGGGTGAAGAGTTTCAGGTGGGAAAATGAAAAAGTTCTGGGAATGGGTGGTGGTGCTGGCTGCACAACAGTGTGAAAGTCCTTTACATCACTGAACTGTGCACTTGATGATTAAAATGGTAAATTGTGTAGTCTGTGTTTTTACCTCAATAAAAATAATGAAAATTTCCTTCTCAATCAGAGAAACAAAATATGCGCAGGATGTTAGATAGCATAAGGGAGAATGCAGTGCAGGTCAGCGAAGTGGGGTGACTATCACTGCCTGTGCTGCACATACTCAGAGGGGTTCCGTGAATAGACCCCACTCCATAGCCACAAGAGCAAAGCCCCCTCCACAGCATGAGAAGCTGTGGGAGTTGAGGGGGCAATGCCAAAAGCAAATGTAGGGCTCTATGACCCCAAATTATTAAGAATTTCAAGAGGATTTCATCAGAATACTATGCTAAGCATGGGGCCCTCTGAGCACTGCACAGGGTGAACCTCGAAAGGCTAACCCTGTGCAGAAAGGTACTTTACTTTCATGTACTGACTTGTATGAGTAGAGTACTGAGTTATTTAATCAAATACTCATCTATGTGTTGCCATGAAGGGGTCTTGCAGATGTGGCAAACCTCTATAATCAGTTGACTTTTAAGTAAAGAAATTACTCCCAGTATTATGAGTGGGCCTCATGCAAGCAACTGAAAGGTCTTAACAAAAATGGAAGGTTCTAGAAGAAGAAAAAGCGATTTGGCCTCAAGACCATACACTAACTCAAATTTCCTTTCTTTGGTGCTGCTGTACCGATTAAAGCCTGGTGAAATCACTTGCGCCTATGGCTATAGCTAAATTTCTGCATGTAGATGTATATACCAGTTATTTTTCCTGGAGGGCTTTGACGGACACATAAGGAAGGGAATGTGTTGGTGAAGTTAGTAAAAGAAAAGCACAGCAGGCTAAACCCTGAGGCTCTATCAAGTCCAAATCCCCTGCTGTGCTACAGACAGGGAAACAGAGACTCAGAGGTGAGGGAGTCTGCCCAGCGTCACACAGTAAGCTAGGAAAGGTGGAGTCTTCAGACTTTCCAAGCAAGGCATGCCCTCCACCCCATAGTTTAGATAGATGATATTTTATTTTTAAATTCTGTGAATCTTACTTTCTATTGCCTTCCATATTGTGTTTTACATTTTTAAGTAATGTTTTGTTTTCCAAACCTTTAAACGACATTTCTGCTGCCAGACGCAGTGCTGTGCCTGCTCTGGAGTCTCCTGACACCCCACATCTGTCCCAGTAAGGGACATAGCATGGTGGATTCATCTGAAACTCCAATCTGGAACAAGAAGCAGCTGAATGTCTTAGAAATACACTGCAAATCTGGATGTCCTTTGGGGTTTAGCCTTTTAATGAACATAATTTATCCTTTCTTTGACCTGGGGTCTTTTCTGATGCCTGAAGGTCATCTTTGCAGAATTCTCCTTACAGAGTCCCTTTGACACCAAGTGGCGCCACCTGAGCCTGTAAGGTGGGCTCCCGAGGTCGCTGCTGGTCTGCCCACTTTCTTTTGCCTTCTCTGCTTTTGTTAAGTCACCTCTGGCCAGGATCCTCCTGCCCTTGGCTGAGACTAGGGTGTCTTGGGCCAGCTCTGCCCCCTGGTGACAAACATGCTGATCTCAGGAAATGTCTGGGTGCTGAGGCTGGGCGCCATCCTCCAAGCCTGACTTATTCTAGCGGGCAGGAAATGCCAGCAGCCTCCAAGAACGTGAGAAAGGGTGAACGGCTGACCACAGTGCCACCCTGACCAGCACAGGACTAAACTGTAACACAGAATTGGGGGTGTGGGGCCACAAGCGGCTCTTGGAGCTAGATTTGGGCTGAGAGACCTCCAGCCAAAAGGAAATGAGCAAATCTCACTGACTGTGAGCAGCTTCTCCCCTACAGGTAGCCATGGTGTCCCCGTATTACTCAGGTGCACAGTGAGACAGAGGGGCCAGGTAAGCACCGAGGCTATGACTTGAGACCTTCAGATTTTAGGTAAGGTTTTGTGACCCTGAGGTCACAAAGGGCAGGGGAGCTGCCTGGGCCAGGGTTCAGTTCCCACCATGCGCAAGCACACAGCTCAGCAGAAGGAATCCTGCTCTGGTCACTCCATAGTGGCCCCTGTCAGCCCCTGGACAAGGGTTCAAGGTGCCCCTGGCTCTGACCTAAATCAGCCAGTCCCAGGCAGTAAAGGGGCTGGAGCATGGGCAGAAGGAAGAAACCCGCGGGAGGCCCCAGGGGTCTGTGAGAAGAGTTCTCCATGACACAGTTGGTTTCATACTGAGGCGGAATGTCCCCAAGTCCTGGCAGGCAGGTGTCACCCTGAGGTCTCTGGGTGCTAAAATAAAACCAAAGGCAGGCGCTAGGTGAAGAATGGAGGTGGAAGCCTGAGGAATTGCTGAGCACCCCAATTCCGAGGGGCAGGAGTGGGACCCATGAACTAAACCAAGCAGCGTCTGCTTCTGCGCAGGACAGGGCCTTTTGGACGTCAGGAGAGGCCCTGACATTTCCAAAAATTTCAAAACAGAGTTGCAGAAAGTTTCACTGGTTTTCAGTTTCCGACACTTTACACACACAGGCTGCCTTTGCACCCAGAGTGAGGCGCCATTGTGCTGGGTTTGAGCCAGTTGCAGCATCCCGTTCTGAAACCGGTCCCTCGTGTCCTCCAGGGATGTGGCTGGTGACAGGACGCAGGTGTGGGTTTGGAAAGTGGTGTACCTTTGTTAGTGGCTGTGCATCACCACGATGGCTGTACCTCTGTGACATCATTGACAAAGGTGCCAATTTCCTTCTGAATGTGAGGCTGGAGTAAGTGGCCTGCCTGTCACCCTGTCCTCATAGGTGCCTTAGGGTGGGTGCTGGCACGCACCTGACTGGGCACCCCGAGGGCCTGGGGCAGGGAGCAGAGGCTGTGAGGGAATGTCTGGCACAGCTGAAGGTCACAGTCTTTGTTCCCCAGGTGCTGGTGGTCACAGGCGCGAGAGCAGGCAGGTCATCGCTCGCGCTCTGGGATGCTTCGCAGCCTGACTGAGTCCCACAGCTCTGCGGTGAAACAGAGCTGGCCAGAGGCCACTGCTGGCCCTTCACTGAGTGACCACAGGAGTGGGGACAGGGACACAGGCAGCTCTACACACATACTCTGGCGCTGTGAGGCAGAGGACTTGGATCAGAGATTAACCAGACTGGCCTGTGAGCAGAGCCAGGCAGCAAACAGTGTTCATGATTAACGGCGGACAAGTGCTCCACATCCGAGGTCCAGCTTTCCCTGCTCTCACACTGGGGGATTTGCGAATCACCCACTCTGTTTCTGACTGTGTCACCTCTTGAGCTATTTTATACATGCTGGCTTTGCCAAGCTCTTCTGTTGCAACTGGAAAATACCTGGCAATGTGTAGGACCCTGATATGGAAAGTCCCAGGCAGCTAAATGGCAGCAGCAAGCCCCCCTCGGCTCCCAAATCAGGCTTGCGTTCACGCACTCGCTGCAAATCAACAGTCCCTGTCACTCACAGTGGCTTCCTGGGTCTCTCTGTATTTCCAGTCAACAGGACAGTCCATTTTCTTCTGAAGTTCAACCTCATTTCCCAAGCAAAGCCCTTCCCCCGCCCCCGAGAGCCGGGCCCCTCTGTCACGCAATACTGCCACGTGAGCGGTGCTCTGCACACGAGGGAAGCTCCCAGCATTCACCCTTCCCCTGCTGCCCACTACTTCGCAGTGAGGGACAGGCGATTCTGAGGTCCCTATACCAGCCCCATGGATCCAGAGGAACTGGGGTGGAATGTCCCCACATCCTGGCCTCGGATGCAGGCTACTGCTCTGCAGTGTGGGAAATGCCTTGAGGGTAATTGCTGGAACCTAATAGGATTACACACCGGCCCAGGGCCAGGCCCTTTGGATGGCCGCAGTTGATGGATGTGCAGTGCTGTGCACCATACACTTTCCAGGTCATTTCACCTCAGCATTGTCAGAGATTGCACCTGATTACAGTATTCTGGCAGACAGTCAAGTGTCAACATAGGGGTTCACCGCAGGGCTGGTCCACCCTTTTTCCAGATCCCTCTCCTCCCAGATTGTCAAGCACTGCTTATCCTTTGTTCCGAGAATCCCAGCAGCCAGAAGCCTAGGACTAATTCCACCGCCCCCACCTAGAATTAGCCACGTCTCACCCCAATGCCCTGGCCAGCTCATGTTCTGCCATCTTCTACTGCCTCAGGCTGGAACTTCTATCGGGGATGGATGGTCACACACAGGCCCTCGAAACGCAGGCACTGTGCAAAGGGGGAGCAAAGGTGAAAAGGCGGGGTCCCAGGGAAACTCAGAGTTTTATGCTAGGACTCTGCCTTTTGGGGAGCCAGAGTATGAGAGTTTAAAATGGGTGCACTATAAGATATCCCTGGCAGTGGCTGCTAAGCACAGCAATCTCATAATCAAAAAGGATCTTGAGATCATTCTGATGAATGAAATAAATCAGAATCAGGTTAAATTTTGCATGGCTTCTCTAATATGAAAGACACCAAGTATAAATAATTTATAAAATAATGGGATTGGTGGGGGGGTTAAAACTGACCAAGATTCAACACGTACCAATTCCTCAAGATGAATGTGATCATTACGCATTACAAATACACACTGTTACAGTTGATATGTTGTGTCAACTTGAGGAGTCTAGAGGTTTGGCTAAGTGACTCAGCAGTTCTATACCCTGCGGTGTAGAGGACATACCCTTACCGCTCTGGGATGTTATTCATTGTGTCAGTGTGAGATGTTTAGAAGGTTAACTGTGTGACTC